ACCTATAATTTGGCAAGACTTTGACAAGCGTCAAAAATGACAAAAATCTAAAGGCGAGTTCATACGCATCGGCGTCCGTTTGTCGTTCATCGTTGCGTCAAACCAATAAAATTGAAATACGTTCTGTCATTTTTTAAGTAAACCAATAAAACTGGTTAAAAACAACAAGACACGACGCATGACGGATTTATATTTAAACCCATCCATAGATAACTTAAAAATTATTAGAAACTTTTTTTAGTAAAATAAATAGATTGGTATGGGACGTCATCTGCTTTTCTTTTGTCATCGTCTGTCGAAATCTTACCTGAGAAGAAAAAACAGAGTATAGCTCTTAGACTATAAGTAAAACAGCGAAATCGTTATGGAGTCATGAAAATGCAATAAATTTAAAAACTGCGTAATTTTCTAAACAACCGAAATCTTTAAATTCAACCAATAGAAGGTAAAAGGTAAGTATCTTGTATCATCGTATCGCCGGATAACAGATGTATGAAAATCAAGCTTAACTCTTGAAATTATGTCCACGTTAATTCTGATAAACAGCCGTTTAAATTTTATAATTAGATTATTATCGACATTTGTTGACATAATTGTCATTATTACCTGATATTCAGTTATAGCACATAAACCAAAGCTCCGGAAATAATTCGTTATTAATTATATTTGTGTGAAAACACGTAGGCACAGTCAAAATAGAGACAACTCTGTATATCGATTTTATTTCGGCCCCTTCAGGACTTTGTTCTGCTTTGTTTCATCCCTTTACGGGATTTATTTAATATTTTATTAGTCAAAAAGGATGGTCTTAGAGATTTACTTGGCATAGGGTGAAACGTTTTTGAAAGGTTTTGTTAAAAGTTTCAAAGAATTTTGAATTTTACAACATTTAATTTAATTTTTTACTTGGGAAAGATTAAAATAATACTGTCAAAGTAGCGTATTTAAATTTGAATTATGAACCGAAATAACAGTATAATCGAAAAAAACGGCGTCAGCGACAAGGGCGGTTTTATAAAAAAGTTAAAAACTTCTAGATGGGGGGTTTAATTTTAAACAAAAATATGTGTGTGCACTACTTGCGTATATTTGAAATGAAACGTCTTACTAACAGCTATTAAATTAAAGGATTTGAAGAACATGTTTAAAAAATGTAGTTTAAAATGCTGAAAAAGTAATAAATTAAGAAATATTTTTTTTGCGCGTAAAAAAATAGTTATAACAAACATATCTTTGCGTGTAACAGTATTTGTTACACATAAAAAACTATTTTTTACGGGTTAAAAACTTATTTTTTTGAAGTTTGATCTGTTCGGGGGGGGGGGGGTAATTACCCCCATTGCCCCTCCCCTAAAACTGCGCATTGTCAGCGATGGCTATGAAATGAAATCGCTGTCATTTTATATGTAAAATTATATGGGGAATGTGTGTCATATAGATCGTCATTTCCAAGCCAACTGGACACCGTTTTCTTTTCGATCATACGGTATTTGTAATTACTCTTCACAAATTCGATTCGTGAAGAATTCGATATAATAGATCTCACAAGGCAGCTGCTTTAACATAGAAACGGTTTGAACTCTACTTAAATAATTTATTGGCTCTAGAGCAAGTGTGGCGTTTCCCAAAGCCAATTTTAATGAGACAAGAATAAAATATAAGGCTGATTAGAGGACACGACATACTGATACATCAGTATATAGCAAGACTTCGCCGTATTCACAAGATACACTATTGTTTTAATTGTGGTAAAATAATTAATTTTAACTTAGTAGTTACACCGCACTTTATCAAAAAAATGATATTCAATAAAATGTTTAGTCACTATTATACTTCATGATTGATTGGTTTACTACACGTATGTACTTAATGTATATTGTATAGTTACTTACCACAAAACTTATAAAATACCTCATGAACACTGTACAGGGTGAGTCAACGATAGAGTAAAGTCCATTATCTCATTTGTTTCGAGGTTTACAAAAAAATGTTAAATACAAAAGTTATAGGGAAGGTTAAGATACATATTTTAAGATTATTATAGAGTATACAGGGTCCTTGAAAAATGTGTGGCGGATATAACATATGTTTTTTTTAAATGTAACACCCTATTTTTCATTTTATTTTTAGATTCTGCGTAAAATTCTATAACTTTTTTATATATAATGTTATATACCTAAAATTAATGGTTTTTGTAATATTTAAATTTGTTTATACAAATGTTAAATTGCAGTGTGGTAAAAAATTGTCAGTTGTACCATTGTTTCTGAAGTACATATTAATACCAAAATTTGGTATGATAGTTCTATAGAGATTAAAAAGAAGATATATGTTAAGATAATTTAGTTAAATGCTACAGGGTGTTTAAAATATATTTATGAATTTCAACTACTTAAAATTAAAAAATCTCAAATTTTTTAAATGGTACAGCCTATATATTTTCATTTTTTCTGAGAGATTTTGCAAAGCTCATCAACTTTTATTAAGTATGTCATATACCTATTTTTAATAGTTTGTGATTTATTCCAATTTTTTTCTATTTTTACCTTAATTTTTAATACAATTACGCTATAACATCATAGTTGCCGTGACAAAACAAACATATTTATTACTTATTTTTAACAAGTAGTTTAATAATTAGTTACAATTGTTATTATTAGTCAAAATTAACTAACTTTACTCAAATAAACTAAAATCCTAGTCGTGAATTTCTTGGTGTATTTCTATATTAAAAAAAGAAAGATGACATTTGGATTTTCCGTCGGGCCGAATAGCCGCAGATTAGGGTAATACTAACTAGATTACCTAATTATTGACGACGACTGATATTGAAATTTTCTCCGACATACAGTAATTTTTTTTTTCTCGTAGTAATTCTGGTTTATAATTCATTTCGTAAACCCAATATTACTACTGCCACAAAACCGTCCCATTACACACTGAAAATATTATAATATAATATAATATGAAAATGTTTTCTAGATAATCTACATCTATATTCTTATAGTACTTAGCAAAGTACTATATAATATATAGTACTGAACCAAAACATATGTTTATTTTGGCTTGTTCGTGTATATCAGTCACATTGACTAATCCATTTTTAGGAAAATCTGAAACTATTACCTCTCCCTCTACCATTTATACAAATTAAACTAAAATTCACTTTTTGTTCTTAACTTGCTTAACAGACATATGAAATTTTGATAATATTTTTTTTTTGTCATGGTAACTATGATGTTATAGCGTAATTGTATTAAAGATATGGGTAAAAATAGAAAAAATTGGAATAAATCGCAAATTATTAAAAATAGGTATATGGCATACTTAATAAAAGTTGAAGAGCTTTAAGAAATAATTTTTTTTAAGAAATATGAAAGGTTTGAGGTGAGGTAAAAGATAAGTAAAAGCTTTAGAAAATACATAGGTATAAATATATTTGAGAAAACAGAAGAAATATAGCTTTAAATATAATATTCACATCTTATTATTAGACCCCTCATAAAACGGAAAATTATTAAACTGATGACCATATTATAAATCAGGTTGAAAAATACCATATGATTGAAAAAAAACGGCGTCTAGTTGGCTTGGAAATGATGATCGATAACATTCCCCATATAATTTTACATAAAAAATGACAGCGATCTTCATTTCATAGCCATCATTGACGCCGTTTTTTTTTTCGATCATATTGTACTTTCTACAAAGTCTTGACAAAGATTACTAACTAGGTGATTATCTTATAGATATTAAAATGTTTTGAGTTTTCATATTTTATAATAATTTTAATATATTATGTTAACCATTATATTCTGTTTTTTTATGAATGTATAAACAATTCTTTACTTAAATAAAAAGCCATATGCATTACATTATTTCTATCAAAATTAACCTACAGGATATTTTTTTCGTAATATCAATACGTAGTTTATTAAAGTAGTTTTTATGTAGTTAACGAACGGGAAAAAGGCAGTTTTTGAAGAAGAACTACACGTACTTAATCAGGTAAATTACGTCTTAATTAACTACTTCCGAACCCTGATTACTATTAGCTTTGTAAAATAAGTGAATCAAGTAATAAACTATCAATTTCATTTATAATAAATCTTTCAAATGGTGTTTTTAGTTCATTTACGTGGACTGTAGTATTTTGGCCATATAAATAAATTTCTAATTTCAGATCTAAATGTATGTATGTAATAATTAAAAAAAGCCGGATTTTTCATCTGTATATGTGATAAACCAAAGTATACTTTCCTTTTATATTATTGTGAACTTAAAATAAATATTCCTTTATTAAATTTGATTGCTAAAAAGTGAGAGATAAACATTTATTGACTGGTATGATTTTTTCCGTATTCTATTAAAACTATTTTTATATATTATAATATTTTTAAAAACTCGGAAAAAGACATTTTAAAACTTCGAAATATATCTGGTGAGTGAAAAAAGATCCACAATTTGAACTTTTATCGGGTAATTATCAACGCTGCTAAATAGAGTTGGGCCTCCAGTTGGTGACGTCACGAGATTTTTACGTCACAGCAGTCGGGCCTTGTTATTACGCTGGTTACGGTAGGATGCATCGCGGCTACCATCCTGGCGAGCAGCGCGGCCAGCATCTTGGCGAGCATCGCATCGAGATGCCTCACTATGTTAGTGCCCTTACATATGTACCTATGTTGTTTAATATTTTTTCGAGTATCTTTTATATTTTTAAAGGAATGACATCGTTTAAATCATGTCTGGATTTTGATTTACGAATATGTATATTACCACATAAAGATTATATCAAATTATTTTCTGTTTTATAAAAGTTTCCATGACGTTTTTCTTTAAATATGTTATTTGCTTGACATTTTCTACTTTTCTTTGAAGATATCAGATATCTGCGCGTATTCATAAACCTTGCAAAACTTTCCAAATAACATTTTATGTTTTTAAAAATGAAAATACATACCTACTTATTCGATAATTATTTTATTTCTTTGTTTCAGATATCACAGATCAGGAATCATGCAACAATTCCATGACATATAATTTCAGGTAAGGTACTCATCTTTATTATCTATACTTGCGCTTATTATGTAAATAACTCTACAAAGCTAATTTTCATGCCAGATTTGACGTACCATATAATATTTTTATTAATAATTATTTTTATCTTTTAGCCGAGCATAAGCCGATAAAATTTCTCGTATAATCTTTTAATAAACTAGCTAAATTACCGCCGGTAGACAATTTGCGAGAGAAATACCGCCGGTAGGCGGTATAATTGTTAAAAAAAGTTTTTCATTTTTAAAATCAAAAAAGCGTGTTTTTATTGCTTCGGTTTCATTCTTCTATATATACAGGGTGGCGCGAATTTAAAGGTAGAGAAATAAACTTTACAGAAAAATGTTATTTCTTCCTTAAATATATACAGGGGTATCAAAAATTGCTGGTTTATTTTAAACATTTATTTTACATAAAAACTTCGTTATTTCCAATATAACACTATGTATTTTTTTAAACAAGTCGAAGCAGATTTAAATGCTCTTTCAAACTATATTAGGGTTTCCTATACCTATCTGGCTCAGATTTTGAATAAAAAGCGATTTTTCAATAAAACTGTAATCAAGATGGCTAGTGTTGTCATGGCAAGCTTTTAGTGACAGTTAGTAGTTATTTTCAAAATCGAAATTAGTTTATGGACTTATTTAAATTTATACCAGTATACTTTTATTTAATTTACCTAAAATAGTTTAATAAATAATATTTATTAAATATGTGTTTATTATTCTATCTAGAAAAACGAAGAAGTAGTTCTTTGAATTATTTTACGATGACTTGTAGAGATATGGATTTTCTATAAAAGAGCCAATTACGGCAAATTCATTTTCTTCACTTCCAACGACAGGTTTCTGCCTAATAGGTTTTTTATAAACCACACTACCAGCTCTGTGAAATAGGACACGAAGTTTAGCAAAGAAACATAGCTTATCAGGAAGATTCTTATTTGGATATCTTTGAGCATAAGCCCTTGGGGCCAAGAAGCAATTTCCCTCACAAAATAATATCACTAGCAACATATCTATTCGTTCCGCCAGGAGATACTGCTTTATTTTGATAAAGTAATGAATATAAGTAAGTATTCATTAAACTCTTGTAGGTAAATTTAAGTAAACTGTTATAAATTATAAATAATAATGTCCATAAACTAATGTCGACTTTAAAAATAGTTACTAACTGTCACTAGAAAATTGCCATTGCGACACCAGCCATCTTGACTACAATTTTATTTGAAAATCGCTTTTTGTTCAAAATCTGGGCTAGATAGGTATAGGAAAGCCTAATATAGTTTGAAAGAGCATTTGAATCTACTTCGATTTATTTTAAAAAATATAGGGTGTTGCATTTGAAATAACGCAGTTTTTATATAAAATATATCCTTAAAATAGATCAGCAACTTTTGATAGCCCTGTATAAATTTAAGGAACCAATACCATTTTTCAGTAAAGTTTATTTCTCTATCTTTAAACTCAGCATAAGAATTAATTCTGAAAAGTAATGTACAGGGTGTTAATAGTTTATTCTATTGTAGCATGCAAATATAAATATCTTTAAATATCTCAAAAACTGAAGATTTTAAAAATATTTAACCCCTATAATAAATACCTTTTTTGGGCCCAAGAACCCAAAAATAAAATAAAATACCGGGTGTTCCATAAGAAAAAATATAACTTATGGATCTTAGTTCTGAAACACCCTGTATATTTCAAAATAATTTTAAATTGTGCACATTGTCTCCCCACATATACCCATAAAATATTTTGTTTCTACATCTTTCCGTTTTTGTATAATCAACCGAGGCGAATGAGGTGCGCCGTATATTTTATTTTCTTTTTTTACATATTTTAAGATTTTTTAAAAATGTATACAGGGTGTTTCGAAAAATCTGGTCATCAAAAAAAAATCACGATCCTGCTTAAAGCGCTTGACGTAAAAAGCTGATTTTTGGAAAACAGATTGACTTTAGGGTGTAGAGGTTCGATGAGAAGGGATTTTTCGAAACTCGAGTTCTAAGGGGGTGACACCACCTCTCAAATATTAGAATACTTTTTATTTAAAAACCGGTGAGTTTTTCGGAAAAACTCTTAAACACGAATATTTTATTTTGTTGCTTTACATATTTTAAGATTTTTTAAAAATGTATACAGGGTGTTTCGAAAAATCTGGTCATTGATTAATCACGATCCTGCTTAAAGCGCTTGACGTAAAAAGCTGATTTTTGGAAAACGGATTTCCTTTAGGGTATAGAGGTTCGATAAGAAGGGATATTTCGAAACTGAAATTCTAAGGGGGTGACACCACCTCTCAAATATTAGAATACTTTTTATTTAAAAAACGGTCAAGTTTCCGAAAAACGCTTAAACACCTATATTTTATTTTCTTTTTTACATATTTTAAGATTTTTAAAAATGTATACAGGGTGTTTCGAAAAATCTGGTCATTGATTAATCACGATCCTGCTTAAAGCGCTTGACGTAAAAAAGCTGATTTTTGGAAAACGGATTGACTTTTAGGGTGTAGAGGTTCGATAAGAAGGGATTTTTCGAAACTCGAATTCTAAGGGGTGAAACCGCCCCTCAAATATATTAGAATATTTTTATTTAAAAAACGGTCAAGTTTCCGAAAAAACGCTTGAACACGTATATTTTATTTTCTTTTTTACATATTTTAAGATTTTTTAAAAATGTATACAGGGTGTTTCGAAAAATTGATTAATTGGTCATTGATTAATCACGATCCTGCTTAAAGCGCTTGACGTAAAAAAAGCTGATTTTTGGAAAACGGATTGACTTTAGGGTGTAGAGGTTCGATAAGAAGGGATTTTTCGAAACTCGAATTCTAAGGGGGTGAAACCACCCCTCAAATATTAGAATATTTTTTATTTAAAAACCGGTGAGTTTTTCGGAAAAACTCTTAAACATGTATATTTTATTTTGTTGTTTTATATATTTTAAGGTTTTTTAAAAATTTATACAGGGTGTTTCATAAAATATAACCATTGAGTTTTGGCAAACGGATTGACTGTGGGGTGTAGAGGTTCGATAAAGAGGGGGTTTTCGAATTTCAAATTCCAAGCGGGTGAAAACGACCCACAAATATTACAATATTTGTTTTTTAAATACGGCGAGCCTTTCGGGAAAACACTTGGACACGCATAATTGATTTTGTTTTTTTACATATTTTGAAATTTTTAAAAAATCATACAGGGTGTTTCAAAAAGTTGGGTAATTGATTAATCACGATTCTGCTTAAACTGCTTGACGTAAAAAGCTTATTTTTGGCAAACGGATTTTCGAAAGTCAAATTCCAACGAGATGAAACTACCCCTCAAATATTATACCAAGTTATATAATAATATCGCCATATTGTTTTTCTCATGCTGACATAAATGTAAGAAAATTTTATCTTAGTTTGTATGTTAATGGAAATTCTTGCTTTGCTTTGATCATCACCATTACAAATGATTAATCCGACGCGAACGAAGTCTATATATATATATATATATATACTATATATATATATATATATATATATTTTATTTTTCTCTGATTAATGCGCCATCTTATTACTTTTGATTTTAGAATTAATTAATTTGTTACAATAATTCTTTACAATTATAAAATATCAACGCCAGCTCAATGCAAGTCTTGTTTTATGATGGCTCTGCTACAAGGCAATCGCCAAAAATAGCAAGTCAAAAAATGAAAATGCAAAGATATTAGGTTATATCACAAACTAAATTAGATTAGTTCAGCGGTATTTGGTGTTTAAACTACCGTATGCCACTGTTGGACGTCTTTTGCCTGATGCCAGGTTAAGACGTCAAATATCATACCGCCGGATGACGGTATTTTTTTGTATACCGCCGGCGGCTGTTTGGCTAATTAGCTATGTGTTAAACCTCTGAAATAAGGAAAATTTAAATAACTTGGTAACAAAAAAAACAATTAATACTATTTGTTTAATAAAAATACTGCTTGATACATTAATTACTACAATTTATTATCGTTTAATTGAAAAGTCATAATACGTGTGTTCGGGTATTTCATGTTCGTTTTGGAAAGCAGCTTTTGAAATCTCACTACTAGGACTTCCTACTTTCTCTAACCAATCTTTCCTGAAAAAATAGTACAGGATATTAAATTATTATTTATTTATTGTAGGAAAAAATACCCAGCACATACATTTTATTAATTGATTCCGGTTCACCTTCCAATACACCCTTCACAGTGAGATCTTTAGTGTTCATGCACCATCCTTTTAATCCTAACTTAGTAGCTTCTTTTTGAGTATACTACAACATAATACATCACATACAAGCCTTATAAAATAGCAGAAATAAAATACTTGATTGTTATAAGTATATGCAGATAAAAATCTTACTAACTTTTGTCTAAGTTTTGTCTAATATACAGGGTGAGTTTAAAAAAGTGCAAATATTTTCAGGGCTGGTAGATCTCGATAAAAGGAACATATTTTCTCTTTACCGTTTTTCAATTAAGGCGAAAATATACGATATAGTTTACTTTGCAAATTAAAAAAATGGGTGTGCACTATGTGCGCATATTTGAAGTGAAACTTCTTAATTTCGTCTTTCTGTCTGTCTGTCCGTCTGAGGACGCCATTCGGGTACCTCTATCCACGTGTCAAGATTGGTTCCAATCGACCCATAATTAAGAAAAATCCTGATCATTTGGTCCATTTAGAGGCATCGGTTCGAAACGTCGACGGCGTTATCCTATAGTTCGTCTCCAAGTATGCTGAAATCGACCCACATTTTTCTTCAATATCAAATCGTTAGTCCCACCTTGATGAAGATGTAAACGAAACGTCGTATCAAATTTTGCAGGGTGAAACCGTGTGGACCGTCGCTCATATAACCTACCCACATAATTTGGTCGCGATCGGACATCAACTTTTGACGTTTCTTACGTCAAAACTGTCACAGTGACACGTGTCATACACGGTCAAGTTGGTCCAATCTATCGACATACCAAATTTTTTGCTTAAATTTTGAGAACCACAGGATTTTTTCTGGGTTCTATTTCTTGTAAATTTAAGCTGCTGTCTATGTTGCCATTTAAAAAAATTACCTATGTTTTTAACTAAAACTTTTTCAAAAAATTTCAAATTTTCAAATTGTTTTTCTTCGCGAAAAAAACCTCATAATCACTTATTGAAGATTCGCTCATACACTTATTGAAGATTCGCCCTGTATATTTATTTAGCTTTTTTTGTCCAGTCAAACCTTTAATTACCTTTCTGAAAAAGACTCCTGCAAAATAAAAAGGATTTAATTTAATTTAAAAATAAACTAATGTAAAAATTAATTTATTTTACCTTGTACACGACCCCAAACTTCAAAATCTACCGACCGTAGCGGCATACCAAAAATCCAGAATTCAGTGATAAAATTAGAAAATTTGCAAAATGACTGACAAGCTTTCAAGGAAGACTACTGTGACAGTTTTGATTGGTTACTCTAGAAACGAGAATATTGATAAAATATTAATAAGTATCCATGGCTCTGAAAAAATACAAGATGTAATAATATGAAGAATTACGAAAAATATTACGCATTAATACAATATTAGACAATGAACAATTAGTCATTATCTTTTAGTCCTACCATCAGTTCAGTGAATTTGCTATAAAATTTCGGTTCCAAAAATACATTAATACCATAGAGTATACTAAATGGTCTTTGAATTATGACCACGTCCACGAGGACGTCAATCTAGACGTCGAGGAACCTTCATATGACAACTTCTAATCGAGACGATCGACTTATTGTTAAGTTTGTTTCTAAGAAACCGCCGTTTGCCAGCTTTTCAAATTGATACTGAATTGCACTTAAGGACCGTACATATTAACTAACAGACTACAAGAAGAAGATTAAATGAAGCAAATCTTATGTGAAGAAAGCCTGCTTCGGGACCAGAACTTACTAGATGTGTTGACTAGGCCCAAAAACAAAGACATGGTGTTAATGTAAAAATTACGAAAAAATGTTAGTGTCTTCTTTAAAACCGAATATTTCCAACAAAAATAAAGCTAATGAGATTAAACAAAAAACAAACCATTGAGAAAGGGTGTATCTAGATGATAAAATGATTTTTAAATTTCTTGCTGTTTTAACATATTTCACAGGGTGTTTCAAACTTTCACCAAAATATCAACATTTTGTTTTCCCTCGTATAATTAACAGATGGGGAGTTTCATTTTTAATTTAGAAAAAGATACTGAAAAGTCAGATAATTTGGCAACACACTGCTTAAAAAATCATCAAAATCGGTCCATCAAAATAAAATATATTAACGTTTAAAATACATCAAAGTTTTAAGGTGCCCATTTTTCGTACCGGTGAATGTATTTCAAAAACTATACATTTTAGTGATATACTTTTCTAATAAACAAACTTTTATTTTTTTACAAGAATCCAAAAATCAATTAATATATAGGGTGTTCCATTATAAAAAACATAACATTGATCTGTAACTTTTTTTGGGGACACCCTGTAGAACTCTACATAATTTTAGAAAATGCTTTAAATTGACTTACATCAGCTCTCAAAATTTCACTTCAATACAAACTTTTGTTCTCCTTGCAAAAACCGCGTCGTATATGACGCGCCACCCTGTATAATTCGATTTCAATCAAAATTTCAATGATTAGAATATAAGCAGAATAGGTATATTTTATGTATTAGATTTATTTATTTCAATAAATTTACTTAGAAAAAGAATAAAAAAAATCAAAATATTAAGAAGGAAATAATTACTAAGAATTTAATAAAATTAATGGGTAAACAATAAAAGGTAATAAAAAAATGGGTAAACATTTTAGTATTTCACCTATAAAACACAATACAGAAGGTTTCACTTTAATACATTCACAGTAATTATAATAATTTAGGAATTTATTTTATAATATAGTAAATTATAAAATAAATTCCGAGATAAAAGTCTCTGGGCACTCCACTACAGTAAATCTGGAGATATCTAAATATACTGATACTATATTATACTACCCTGTATTACGTAAACATAATGTGGTGTATAATTACCACGTATTTTTGGAATTAAAATAAGTTAATTTTATTTCTATTTTTTATTATTTGTTTAGAGGTAAATTGTGCCAAATTAACTTATCTAGGTTTTAAAAATATTCTTCTATATTCACGGGATAGTTGGACACCCTGTATAAGCTGTGGTATAAGGAACTGACTTTATTTTCAAATCATCCTAATTTTTGGCAATATTTTTAAATCCTAAATCCTGAATCCTATCAATTATAAATTATTATTTTTTTTATTTTCTTAGAAAGGTATATTTTACTCAAAATCCTTGAGAGTTTTAGAATTGTATCAATATTTTAATACATAAAGTTAGTTGGCCAAAACGGACAATAACAAATAGAACTATTCCTAACCTAAGATATTTTATTTATTTTAAATTGCTGTATTTATAGCAGTTGAAATGCACTATTAGTTATTATTAAAATTTAAGCTTAGGACTTGTTAAATACTTACATTAATCAAGTTTTATTCGATGATTTAACTGGTTTAATAATATCTCTTCGTCAATAATATCTCATCGTCAAAATAATTCTGCAAGGCCGCAGGACGCACATTATAGATTGTATTGGTTGTATTGAGTTAAAGTGTATTACTGGTTACCTAAGTTTTGTTGTAGGAATTGATAAAATTTAAAATAAAATATTGTGTATATTTTTTGGTTTGAGCATTTTATTTTTTGCATCGTAATCATAAATAGAAGAGATAATTTTTAAGTATAAAATAAAGGACCTAAAATCCAATAGCTGGCTTTGCTTTTGTTTTGAGCTAAGGTTCGTTTTGAGCTTTGATATTTTTTAAAACGTAACTCGCTATGGAAAAAACGATTCAGAAATTATTATTTCAAGGAATTTATTAGGAGTAGAAAAAATATTGTGCTGTGTTGGCGTTGGTTTCCATGTAATTTGACAAATAAATAAAGCTGTCTCTTTAGTTGTCAGTTTTGAGTCAATATTTTTTAATTCTCTTTCCTGTCGATTGCTGATTGAATTGGAGCCAGAAATGGCTCAAAACGAAATAAGTAAATTACCAACAGATATTCAGGCTGAGGCGACAAACGCCATATCCAAACTACTTCCATTTAAATCCCGAATAACTTATGAAAAGGAATACAAAAAATTTCAAAATTGGAAGCAATTAAAAAACGTGCGAGAAGAAATAAAGTTTTTAACCTATCCTTGCTGTTAAAGTCCTGTTAAAGTATCATTTAATCTACTCTTGCGGTTAAAGTACTATTTTATCTACTATTTTTGATAGATATAAGGCAATTTTAACATTTGCTATGGGAAAAAAATAAAAAACATAATTATAAGCTCTACAACGAGAGAATACATGACGTTGACAAATAATGTGTTTGTCTCAGTTCACAAATATATAATATTTTCTGTCAGTTTTTTTATGTCTTCTGTCGAAATCTTCTCTGACTCGTTGGGCAGACCCTAGTTAACTTTAAATATATTTTATAATTGACTGGTTTACACTATGTTTACACTACTTGTAACATAAATTATTATAGTACGTCCTGTGATATATTTAAATTATAGCCAAATAAACTTTTATGTTTTTTGTATATAGGTATAGGATTGATAAATATTTCTTATAGTTGTACAGTGTAAAATAAACAGCTTTCAGAGCAACATAGTGTTCGTTTGATTCTTCCTAAAGTATTTAAATTAATAATTTACTGGACAGAACATTTGGCGACGAGGATGGGATAGCGAGAGACAGATATATTCGATTTTCTTTCATACTTTTGATATCGTCTGTCCAAATCTTCTCTCTGGCTCTTTGGATAGGGTTTGGATACGATAACTCTCCAACACTAATTGAATAATTTTATCTTTGAGGCTCAATAATTTAAAGTTAAATAATTATTTGTGTAACTAGTGCAAAAAGGCCATATTGTTGCACGACACATTATAGTTTGGTGAGTGCAACAAATATGCTTTTTGTACATGTTGCACACAACATTTTTTCTACGATCAAATTGAAATTCTTATTTAAATGTTTATTAAAAAGTTTTTACAGTAATTCACAGGATAATATTACCACTATTTTTTTCAATTCATTTCAATTTTAATATCGCAGTTTGAAAAATTCACTATGGTAATTGAATTGATGGATAAATTTAATTTTCAGTAGTCTTTTGAATTTTATTTTGATTTCTGCTCGTGGAGGTCTCGGGTTCTTGTTCTTTACTTAAAACTCTTTTCCGGAATATTGCTGCGAGGTGTCCAGCACTGGTACTTGGTTTATTTTCCTGGATTTGACAATTTTTTACAAAAATTTACAAATTCTTTCTCTTTAGTTAAAATCGTCATTAATAATGCCAAAGTGTTTTTTTGCGCCAGCGCAAATAATAGGTTATTTTTTGCACTAGTGTAAAAAATTTGACTTTTAAGTAGATAGTGTAAAAATACTTTTCGCACCGATCGCGATCGTAGAAAAAAAGTTTTTGTACTATTATTGTGGTTGATTTGTATAATATCAAATCGTTTACCTATCTACAGGGTGTCCCAGGCTGAGCATTAGACTGTCCCGTGCATTAGAAGTTTCTGGAGAACTACAATATCTAGATCGGAGATTTTTTGTACATCATTGTTTCACAACGAGATCTATCGATTAAAAATATTTTCAATATGGCGGCACTTCCGGAAATACCGGAAGTTGACAGCAACTTTGATATTAATACTCTATACCTAACGTTAACCATTTTTGAGGAAAACAAAATATTTTAAATTTTTGGACGAAAAAAAACCGCCTGTCAAAAATATGTGTATAGCCTATACGTCAAATTTAGTGATTACCACAGCCACTGTGACATAAAAGAAGATATGTGGCTAGCTATTTCAAAAATTAAATTGTTCAAATGTCATAATAGAATAATGGCGGTATATAGCTGTCATGGAATTGGACAAGCCATTAAAAATTATCATAAATAATTTTTTTCAAATGGAGAAACCCACTTTTTTTATTTCACTAGTAAAAAGGCTTTTCAATTCGTTACTTTTTGACTATACATGTTCCTATACCTAAATCGTTTTTAAATTATTTCAGATTTAGTTTGAAAACGTATATTTTTTTTATATTTTATATCTAACTTTCTTTGACATTAAGTGTCAAACAGTCAGACGATTTATTTCCATCTGCCAGAAACGAATCATTTGAGTTTCCTATATTATAAATACAGCCTGCCTTAAGAGTTTAAAAAGTGTATTTATAAAAATATATCTCGTATTTTTGCTCTTTAGTGATATCGTGATGTCTAATAATTGATATTACTCATAATATACCGTATGATCGAATTTTTAATCGCTCAATTCCATGACAGCTACCGCCATTATTATATGACATTTAAACAATTTAATTTTTGAAATAGATAGCCACATATGTCTACTCTTTATGTCACACTCGCTGTGGTAATCACTAAATTTGACGTTTAGGCTATACACATATTTCTAACAGGCGGTTTCTTTGCCCAAAAATGTTTTTTTTCTCAAAAAAGGTTAATGTTAGGGATAGAGTGTTTAATATTAATATTCCTAAAACTTTACAGTGAATTTAAGTATGTAATAAAAATATTTTTAATCGATAGATCTCGTCGTGAAACAATAATGTGCAAAAAATCTCCAATCTAGATATTGTAGTTCTCTAGAAACTTCTAATGCACGATCACCCTGGGACACCCTGTATATTATGTACTATTTTCGAAGATATATTGATTTCAAACAGAATAACACAAATCAGAGTTAAAACGACTTTGTACTATTTTTGCTTTTAATCTATTTAATATTTAATTGTATCGATTTTTTTTTCTTATACCATGTATATTGATTTTGAGACAAACCTAAACAAAACAACATGACCCGTATATTTTATTCATTAACTTCTATTAATAACAACAATTTTCTTATATTTTAGTCGTCAACAGAGTTGTAGCGATTCTCAGCTCTCCAAAGAACTAGAGCCTCTCCGAAATTATATGGGATCGATGAATCTAACGAGCGAATCGAAAAATTGGGAAGAATCATCTTCTGGAGATAACAAAGCTGATATAGGTAAAATTTAAAAACAGTAATAAATTGTTAGACGCAATTGACTATAACTAGAAGTAAATGTATATTAATTTCATAATAAATTGATAGGTTTTTATGTTGCAGATAGTCTAGAAGCTTCTAGAAGAGAGTCGATGGCTTCTAAATCTGTCACAGATTGGACTTGGAGCGATTCTAGGAGTCTGGACGAGAAGCTTTCGCCTAGTACTTGTAGCGTCAAGGTAAGAAAATTATTAATTGTGAATTTAGAATCGTTATTGTGATCGCTTTTAATTATTCGCTTTAACTGAAAGTTACAGCTGGATATATTTTTTAATTCCCATAAACGCAGTCAGCAAGGATTCATCTGCATCAAAGATTTTATTGGATTTTAACTTATTTCTAGTTTAACTACAGCTTATGTTTAGAACAGGGGCGTAGATAGGTGTATGCTATGGGGGTGGTACTATGATTAAGTCGCAAAAAAAATCACCGTCGGAATTTTTTTGTCGAATTAAAACGACGGCGATTTTTTTGTCTTCAAAAAGATAAAAACATAACACAAAAATTAAAATATAGATTTGTAAATAACATAAAAAAAATGAAACAACGACGTTTATTAGTTAATTTTCTATAAACTATAAATAAAAAAATCTAAACTATCAAAAAAAACTCTAAGAACTATAAATAAAACTACAAAACAAAATCAAGTTTTCTAGTACGCTGTTTGGAAAACCTATCAATAACAGCATCAACATTTATTTCAATATCTTTATGGATATTGATTAGAGTTAACCCCACTAATCTGTCCTGGCCAATAAGAACACTTTGTGTGCTTTTAATTAGGTCGAACATATTATAAACGATAAATCAACATAATTAAAAGCATAAAAGTGTTCTTATGTCGGATTTTAATTAAAAAAATCCTTTCATAGTCAATGACTATTTCTATTCTCGTATCTCGTCAAGCGTCAGGGGGGGGGGGGGTACTGTCCCCCAGTACCCCCCCCCCTTATCTACGCCCTTGGTTTAGAACCAGCTGGTTATATTCGCTTGTTGTTGAAGTGGCTAACAAATCTCTAGAAAGGTCTAGAAATTCCACAGGGCAGAAGACGGACGAAAGAGTTCATTGTAGAACATTTGTCAAAATTTATGGAAGACCTGATAAGCATTAGCGTAATTAGCGTTTAATACTGGGGGGGGGAGCTGGGGGGGGAGCTGGGGTTGAGCCCAGGGGGGACCTAGGTCTTTCATTCTTTAAAAAATGAAGAATAATATTAAAAATACATTTATTGAATAAAACGTTTACAGGAATTTCTCTATCAATAAATTTCATAGACTTGGTAATCAAACCGTGTTCCTGTAGATTACTTAAATACCTACAAATTTTCTAAAAAAATAAAAATAAAATAAAAATTAACACATTTTGTGAACACCAAAAAATAATTTTAACTAAACAAAACTAGAAAACGCGATTTTTAATACATCACAAGCAAATAAAAATTAATATGTAGCCAAGAGTCGTAATTCAAGATTTCTCTGGGGGGCGCCCAGCAGTACCGGGGGTGCCCGGCATCTCCGGGCACCGCTGCAGTTACGCCAATGCTGATAAATAAAGACAGAAAGGCTGTCAAAATAGGCTAATAAGTGAGGATAAAAATAGGGTATTACCTCCGAATTCTTGACACCCGCACCGATTGACGTGAACTTTTAACCGTGAATAGATGGTAAAAACAAAAGTCACATAGTAGCGATGTGTGCTTTTACCCTTGGGGCGAGTGCTACCCCTTCTCGGGGGGTGGAAAATAAATCACCCATTTTAATTGCAAAAATCAATAAAGGGATCATTTCTAAGCAAAAAAATGTTCTATAACATTTTTTCAGAAAATTAATATTTTCCCAGTTATTTAGGATTGAAAATGTTGATTTTTCATCTAAAAACTGCATATTTTTTTTAAAAATAACGCGAAAACCTTGCGTTTTATCGCAAAATTAATATATAAATCAAAAATAAAGCTTTTGGAATAACGAACCAACGTTTTTTGCTAATTACCGTAGGTGTAATAATAGCCGAGTTATCACTCTGTAAAGGTGATTTTTTTTATTTTTCGAACACTAAATTGCAACCTTTTATCGTAAAATAATGGCAAAAGAACACATTTTTCGAAGAAAATCAATAAAACCGTTTTTAAAGTGGTTGAAAAGACCTTTTAAATGCTTTTTTAAAAAATTTCGTGGCTGAAAAACCCTGAGTTATGATAAAAATAAAATGATCACAACCTCGGTCACAACTTTATTTTTTCGGAAAAAAATTAACAAGAAAATCTATGATTAAAATCATAAAACCAATAAAAACTATCAGTTTGTAGGAAATTACACGAGCTACAAATTAACCTCTATTGTTCAACCAGAGAAGAACAAACGTAGAGAAGCGACAAAACGAATCCCGCCTAAAAATTTGGAGTGCAAATTGCGTTGCCATTGTTAATGATAAGTCCTGAAATCTTACTAATTTTTTATTTGTGTAAATAATCTTTTTTTGAATTAATTAATCTATATTTTATTCTTACCTTATAATAGTACTCCCAAGCAGCATTTGGACGTCGGGACAACGTTGTGTCACGCGACCAAACGTCGGGGCGCAACGTCGACACAACCTCGTGCCAACCCTAGTCTGCACTAGTTTGGAGAATAATTTTTGGGTCGAAACGACGTTGGATACCGACGTTGGCTAGAAGCCTAATTTAGTACAAACTGCAACGTTGTTTAAAATCCTAATTCACAGAAATACAAAACTAATATGGTTTCTAAGTCGCGTTTTATCCTAAATTGGGATAATTATAGTAAAAATATTATTTTTATGATTTAGTTAGAGATATATGTCAGATGGCAGTGAAGGAAAATAAAACAAAAGTATTTAAGTGTGGAGGATGTTTGAAGATCATAATTATTGAAACACTTTAACCGACTCTGTAACTCGTTACCCAAGGGAAAAAGTTAAACGCAAACAACTTTGTTAATAAATGTATTGTTTCTACTTTGAAAAATACTAATGGGCCTTAAAATTAAAGAAGTTTTAAAAAAAAATTTGAAGTTTTTTTTAGTAAAATGAGAATAATTTATTCGCAGTCGAAAAAATTGTTTCCGCGTGTTTTTTAGGGTCAAATATTTCAAGTTAATGTATTCAAAAAGCAGGAATTGCTATTTTAGGAAAATGGATGATGAAACATTTTCTTATTTAACAACATGGCGGCTTTCACTTTGTTGTTTTGGAGATTAAGATGGAGTAGTTCGAGTAGTCGCATACTGGACTAATAAAGTCGCAGTTCGGCCTTAACAGGTAGTATATTAGTCGCAAGATTGCCTAATTTAGTCATCTTAGAGTCTAGCTTGTGCCGCCCTCTATAATCTAAATAAACGAGGGAGTGGATAAACATCGGTAATATATGTCGATGTATATTTAAATTTAGTTTTATATGTACCTTTCTTATGTCCCATTTTAATTAAGTTTTTTTATAAAAAACAAAAACAGCACTGAACTGTCTGACTGAACAGAACAATGAAGTGAAAATTTAAGATTTAAGGTTATGGTTCAATACAGTTGCAAAAAGGTAGTGACTCGACGTCCTACCAACGTAAGAATAAGGAAATCTAAACAACGTTGGAATTAGTAAAACAGACGGCGTTTGCATAACGTTGGAATAGGTCCTGAAACTGACGTCGGAAAACTCTATGTTGTCCAACGTTGTAACTACGTTGTCCGAATCACCTAAAGATCACTTAAGCAAAAAAGGTTACAAGACAACGTTCATTCGACGTCGCAGAAACTTCTACTTTGCTGTAGTACTAGTCCAACGTCGGCACAACGTTATAAAAACGTTTAAATTTATTTTAATACTCAAGGTAGGGAGCTAAGTATTTTTTGTAACTAATCCAACGTTGTGTTTAGTAAACATGTGGTCGCAAGTCGTGAAAATGCTACTTGGGCTTAAAGAAAGAAACTAACTTTCAGGACTAAATATTATTAAAACTTAAAATAGATGCAGGTTTTTAGCGTTTCATTACTAAAAACTGCCTTTTGCAAAATTAATAAATTGCCCCCTTGTGAAAAGGGGGTTTAAATTAAAAGCGAAATGGATAAATGAATTAGAAAAAATATTTACTTAATTCTAATTTTGAGAATATTAGTGCTGGGCCATCAATTTCACAAAAACTGTATAGTCTAATGAACAAAGAACATTTGGAACACGCATGTCCTCAATTTCCAAAAGACTGTGCTCTAAAACTCTTTATCAGGCTGAAAATATTCTATACTATAAAATATACGAATGGGGACCTCAAAATAAAACAAAAAGATAAGAAAACTATTAGAAAATTAAATATTTTATCGCATATATTATAATTTAATAGCGGCGCTAATTTGAGTTATGTTATCTTTAAATGTAGTATGGATTTTATGTAAAATATGATTTTTTAATATATAGAGTGAGTCTTAAGTAAGTGCAAATATTTTCAGGGCTGGTAGACCTCGATAAATGAAGCATATTTTCTCTTTACCGTTTTTCAAACAAGTCCAGAATAGCCGAGATACTTTGAAAATTAAAAAAAAAACAATTTTGGTTACATTTTTAGAACCGCTGAATCTTTTCTGGGTTTTCTTTCTTGTAAATTTAATCTACCACCTCTGTTCTCATATTATAAAGATATTATGTTTTTTAATCATCTGCTGATGCACTGATGTAAAGTGTTTTAGTGTATTGTGGTGAATTAGTGTTTTATTTTGCTGTTTTAATACCCCAGTTCCAACCCTCAACTGTAATCATGTTATTTACTTTTTAGTTTGGTTTAACGCTTGTGATAACAGCTGATAAATATTCGAATTTTTCTTAAAATTGTTTTACTTAAAAACACACTTTCAAATATTAATTTCGAAACAAACAATATTATCAGATACGATTTGAATATGTCTCTCTAAAAGGAATATGTTTGAAAGAAAATGGTTAGAACGCGGTAAATCCACAAATCGCGGAAAATCGTTAAATCTTAAAAAATAATTACTATTCAATATGATTCCTAAATATTTCTAATATACTTTTTACTGAACACATGTTTTTTCAGTTGTGTGTTCACAACTTTTCTTATTTTTTTTTCCTTCATTGAATTTCTCTCAGTGTAGCTATAAACATAAACTACTATAAACATGCTATCTGTCACGTACGCCAATTTGAAGGTCACAAAACTTGGTCCCCCGTACTTCAATAGTGCCGACGTTTTTTGTCGCTTCTCTACGTTTGTTCTTCTCTGGTTCAACAGTCTTGAATGGAACTCTTTATTTTTACGATATTTTTGGTTTTAAGGGATCAAAGAAGGTAAAAAAACGTAATCTACAAAATAAAAAGATCTGCAGAAAAATTAAAAGAGAGCAAAAATATTAAAAAAAGACCTTCAATTTTACCCTGTTGCATTTTTTACGTATCTTGCTTAGTTTTTGAGATATGTTAAAAAATTTAAAATTTTTAAAAAATAAAAAATATTTTTTTTTTCATTATTTTCGACTTTTCTCCAAATTTAGGCATTCTAAACCGCTAGAACTTGCAGAGCCCATTGTTAGTACCTAAATATAGCCATCTGTACAGGTATTACGCTTAGTTTTAATTTTTATGATTTTAGTCAGATTTTGTTCCGAAAAAATGAGATGACCATTTTATTTTTTGTCATAACTCCGCGAGTTTTTAAGCTACGAACTTTTTTAAAAAAGCATTTAAAATGACTTTTCTAGCGCTTTAAAAACGGTCATATTCATTTTCTTCGTAAAATGTGTTCTTTTGCCATTATTTTACGGTAAAAGGTTGCAATTTAGTGTTCAAAAAATAAAAAAATCATCTGTAAAGAGTGATAACTCGGCTATTATTACACCTACGGTAATCAACAAAAAAATGAGTCGTTTAGTTCCAAAAGCTCCATTTTTGATTTATATGAGTTTTGCAATAAAACGCAAGGTTTTCGAGTTATTTATAAAGAATGGAAGAAAAATATGCAGTTTTTTGATGAAAAATCAACATTTTCAATCCTAAATAACTAGGAAAATATTAATTTTCTGAAAAAATGTTATAGAGCATTTTTTGCTTATAATTCATCCCTTTATCGATTTTTGCAATTAGAATAGGTAATTTATTTTTCACCCCCGAGAAGGGGTGGACTTCCTCATTTCATCCCCAGGGTAAAAGCACACATCGCTACCATGTAACTTTTGTTTCTTACATATATCTCTATTCACTGTTAAAATTTCACGTCAATCTGTTCAGGTGTTCAGAATTCGGACCCTAAAACCCTCGCTTACTGGCCTAAAGCTGTAGTGGATCTATAGTATAATAGATCTAAGGCGATTAGAATGAATTTTAGAATGAGTGGGAGGGGGGTTAATCACTTCGACCTTACAGATCCATTGTGTCCCCCTTTCTTGAATCATAACTCATCATACAGTCCCAGGGCTTTGACAAAAGCCAGTATCTGGGACGGTTTTATAGAGGGTAGTTCTCCATCTCCAATATCAGTCGTACCAAAATTCATGGCACGAATGGTTGTCGTCTCGGCGCACTCAGTGATGAGGTGTACTGGTGTTTCACCATCTTCCCCACAGAATCTGCATTCGCCGTTTCTTCTTAGTTTCAATCTACTGAGGTGTTCATTGAGGAGACAGTGTCCTGTTAAAACCCCGTGACAATCCGAAGATTGTTCTTACTCAGACCCAGGAAGATCTGTGATTTTTCTGATCATAAGCCCTCAGAAACTTCTTCGAGTGTCTTAGACCATTGCAAGATTTCCATTCCAGGTTGCGGATGGAATCTTCCAAGTTCTTGAGTTCCGCCTTGAGTTGGTTACCACTGGAAAGCAGAACGGTTCTGGTCCAGTTAGTGGAGTGTTCGCTCCTTTCCTAGCTAGATTATTTGCTTTTTCATTGCCTTCTATCCCTTGGTGAGCAGGCACCCAGTGTAGGAGGACTTTGTTTTCTTTGCCTAATTTATTCAGCTTCTCTATGCATTCTTTGACCAATTTCAAATCGATTGATACTGAGTTGATCGCCTTTAACGCTGCTTGACTATCAGATAAGATGGCTATTTCTTGTTTCCGATAGTTCCTATCTAAGATAAGTTGTACGCATCTCTCGATAGCGTAGATTTCTGCCTGTAGGATACTAGGGTAAGTGCCCATTGGTTCGGAGTAATTAGCTCTCGGCGCAAACACTCCGATCCCTGTTCCCGTATTGGTTTTGGAAGCATCAGTATACCAAGTTATGGTATGGTCTTTTAACTGCTGGGCAAGCGTTTCGCTCTTCCAATCCTTCTTATTGCTCAATACTACATTGACATGTTTGTCAAAGTTGTACGTTCTTGGCATATCGTCCACTGGGAGTTGCAGGAGTGGTATTTCCTTTTTGAGGGTGTTCCAAGCCCCTGATCTGACAATTCTCCCAGTACTAATTCCGTTAGTGACCATTCTAATCATTGTCGCATTGGCATATCTACCAATGACAATGTGCAGTGGTGTTAGATCTAGAATGACCTCCATTGCTGCTGTTGGACAGGTTTTCATGGCTCCTGTGATGCAAACACATGCTAGTCTCTGGACTTTGCATAGGTTTAGCCTTGCCGTCCGTTGCTCTAGTTTTGTGTACCAGGCAACTACTCCATAAGTAATCATGGGTCTTACTATCATGGTATACATCCAGCGCAAAATGTTAGGGGAGCAGCCCCATCTATTTCCGGCCAGTCTTCTGCATATCATGAGAGCCTTTATGGCTTTGCTGGTAGTGTTCTTAATATGCCTGTTCCACAGGAGTTTCCTGTCCAGGGTTATTCCCAGGTATTTAACTTCCTGTGTTGGCAGTATTTCCTTTCCACCTAGTTGGATTCTTTTCAAGTTTTTCAGACTTCGCCTTCTGGTGAATGGCACTATCGCGGTTTTGTCTGAGTTGATACTCAGCCCGACAGTCCTACACCATCTCTCAGTGATACGGAATCCTCTTTGGATAATATCACACAAGGTGCCTTCATGTTTCCCCCGAGCGATCATGACTATGTCATCTGCATACCCAATGCAGTGTATTCCCGCTAGAGTTAATTCATCTAGTAGTTCATCCACCACCAAGCTCCACAGCAAAGGGGAGGTTACTCCACCTTGTGGAGTTCCTTGCGTTGTTTTAACAGCTACAGTTTTGGTGCCCATCTGAGCCTCTGCTGTTCGTGTTGACAGCATTTCCCAAAACTAAGGCGATACAGATATATAATACAGGTCTATCGACGCTTCCTTGAATTATAACTCATCATACAGTCTCAGGGCTTTGACCAAAGCCAGCTGAAGCTAGTATCTGAGACGGTTTTATAGAGGTTAGTTCTCTATCTTCAAAAACAGTTGTAAAAGAAAGTAAAAAAAAAGTTTATAGCACGACTGATTATTGTCATCTCGGCTCACGTAGTGATGAGGTGTTCTATTTTTCCAGTGTCTCTTGTTTCTTAGCTTCAATCTAGTGTGGTGTTCATTGAGAAGATAGTGTCCCGTTAAGAACCCCCGTGACAATCCAAATATTGTTCTTTCTTAAATCTAGGAAAATCTTTGATTTTTGTCTTGTCTGAGAAATTTCATCGAATGTCTTAGACCGTTGAAGGATTCTCATTCCAGGTTACTGAAGGAGTCTTCCAGGTTCTTCAAATAAGGTTTATAACCTATTTGATTTACATTTTTTGGAAGTTATAGTATATTTTACAGTAATATAAACTTTTTCTCATAATTTTTTTTCAGAGCTCTGGAGGCACGAGTGATTCTAAACAAATGGTTGATACCTCAATGGGAATCATCGAGTTATCATTGAATTATGACCAACTCTCAAGTATTCTCCATTGTACGGTGTATAGGGCAAAGAACCTTATACCCATGGATATAGGAGGCTTGTCAGACCCTTTTTGTAAACTGAATATCTTACCCAACGCCAAAGTATCAACGAGACTGAGAACCAAAACTGTCCATAAAACACGGTGAGTAAAATTTATACAGGATTGGCAAGAGAGAGTCTTGGATCAGGATTTACATGTTTACACGGAAAAAATAAATTATAATAAACTCCACAATTGTAAAATAGTAAGCACTGCTGGATTCTGCGTCTAAAATGGTTCTAGGCATTACGTTGTTTTAACTGCGTTTCTATCAATTTATAGATGTTCAAAATAGTTAAATCTGCTTGATTTTATACGAAAATAGCGAACAAGTGTGGTAGTACAGAGAATATTTAGATTGCACTCGTTGAAATTTAAATGAAAATAATTATTACAAATTGTAGCACTAAGTACTAACTCTATTTTTTTGACACAATTTGCTGTTACTAGGCACTGTCGTAAACGTAAACTGAGTTGAGGAAGAATATTAACTTAGTTAATACAACAATTGTGTGTGTGTGTGTGTGGCATAAGTACTAAGTGTTTGTGATTGCCAACAGTGTTTGTGACAGTATTGCCAACTAGTTCAAGTTGTCGTTCGTGTATTGCGCTTTATTAAATAAATAACGAATCTGATAATTACAAATAATTGCAGCTAATACGTACACAACTAATTAAAATATTTATAATGAATAGATTTTGAGCGGTATATTCAAACAGAATCAATATCTAAACCTGATTTTAGTAAATTCTACATGGAAATTTATAATATGTTTCAATGCACCTTTTCAAAAGTAAATAACGTTAAATTTTCGTTCTGTTTTTTGTAGTAATCCAGAATTCAACGAAAATCTCACGTTCTATGACATAACGGAGGACGACCTAGCGAAAAAATCGTTACATGTTCTGGTGGTTGATGATGACAAATACGGACACGATTACATGGGAGAAGTCAGAATAAAGTTGGCCAAGTTACGTGTCCAGAACACAATATACGTTAGTACTTTTATGATTTACAGTGGAGTATTAAATATATTTATTTCTTACTGAATTATTATAGGCTTATACCGTCTTGGTTACGCTAACCATAGAGTCAAAACACTCTTGGGGGCATTATTAAGTTCTAACTTTTATAGGTAACAACCATGAAATACAATAGAGAGATTTTGAATAATAATAAAAATTAAAAATGGACACTCATCTAACTACTCTAATATTAATTATTTACATCATTAATGTCACATATAATAAATATACAAAAGAGTAGTTTCATCGATATCTCCTGCTACAATATTTTTCTGTCCTACCCACTAAAGGCATTCTTTATATTCCTTTTAGTAAATGTATTCACTTTCGTGCTTCTTAATATAGAGGACTTTATTTCAGATTTTTTTTAATATTCCCTCCATTTTAATGGAAACGTACTCGAAAGTGTGCCGAATTCGTGCAAAAGGCGTTTTTATTTGTCAAAAAACTGAACTCGATTGACAACATCCCTCAATTTCCAAACAGGTCATTTAATGTAATAGTAACAATAGATACTAACCTGGTAACAAATAAAGTTTCTACCAGTATAACATATGCAATATTTGTTTCGTTTAAAACTGGCAAAATGTACTAAATTCAGTTTATAACGCAAACAAGGCAAGGAACTCTACAAAGTGGAGTGACCTCCCTCCTATTGTGAAGCTTGGTAGTGGATGAACTACTAGAAGAATTAACTCTAGCGAGAATATACTGCATATAGGGTATGCAGATGACATAGTCATGATTGGACGGGGGAAACTTGAAGGCGCCCTGTGTGATATTATCCAAAGAGGACTCCGCATCACTGAGAGATGGTGCAGGACTGTCGGGCTGAGCATCAACTCAGATAAAACCGGTAGTAGCTTGGTTAGTTTACTTGAAAAGAATCCATCTAAATGGAAATAAAATACTGCCATCACAGGAAGTGAAATATCTAGGAATAACCCTGGACAGTAAACTTTTCTGGAACAGGCATATTAAGAACATTACCAGCAAAGCCACAAAGGCTCTCATGATATGCAGAAGACTGGCGGGAAATAGGTGATGCTGCGCCCCTAACATTTTACGTTGGATGTAGGTATACCATGATAGTAAGACCCATGATTATCTATGGATCAGTTGCTTGGTACACATAACTAGAGCAACGTACAGCAAGGCAAAACCTCTGCAAAGTAAAGAGGCTGGCATGTATCTGCATCACAGGTGCCATGAGAACCTGTCCAGCAGCAGCAAATAGAGGTCATTTTAGACCTAACACTACTGCACAAGGTCGTCGATAGTTATGCCAATGTGACAATGATTAGAATGGTCATTGTCGGAAACAGTACTGGGAGAATTTTCAGGTCAGGGGCTTCGAACACCCTCAAAAAGAATATTCCACTTCTCCAACTCCCAGTGGATGACATACCAAGAATTTACAACTTTGAGACAACAACTCACTGTAGTATTGAGTAATAAAAATAAAGTCCTCCTACTCTGGTGCCTGTTCACCAAGGGATAAAAGGCAATGGAAAAACAAATGATCTAGCTAGAAAAGGAGCGAACACTCCCCACTAACTGGACCAGAACCGTTATATTTTCCAAGCGGGAACCAACTGAAAGCGGAACTGAAGAATCTGGAAGACTCCATCCGTAACCTGGAATGGGCTAAGACATTCGAAAAAGTTCCTCAGAACTTAATACGGAGAGAAATCAAAGGTTTTTCTTGATTTAAGTAAAAACAATCTTCAGATTGTCACGGGGTTCGTTCCTAACAGGACACTGTCTCCTCAACGAACACCTCAGTAGGCTGAAGCTGAGAAACTACGGCGAATGCAGATTCTGTGGGGAAAATGGGGAAACACCAGAACCTTATCACTGAGTACGCCGAGACGACGACCGTTCGTGCCATGAAATTCGGTAAGGCTGCCGAGGATGGAGAGCTGGCTTCTGCAGAGCCGTCTCAGATACTGGCTTTTGTTAAAGCTCTGAGACTGTATGATGACTTATAATTCGTTATAACTCAAGAAAGGGGAACATACAATAGATCTGTAAAGTCGCGGTGATTAACTCCCCTCCTAAACAATCTACATTCTACTAAATTCAGTAAGAAATAAAATTATCTAAGTACCAGGGAATTATAAAGTGTTAACTTATAACCTCGGGCAATAATTATTGTCAGAAATGTTGCCATTGGTGATTAACACCTTTATCATTCTCTTGATATATAAATAACTATTTTGTTAGAGTGGTTTAATAAACAAGTATTTTATTATTGTTTATTAATTTTAGCTGACAGTTCCATTAGAAAACCTGCGTCCAGAACAGAAAGGGCCACTGCCAGCTCCCGAGCTTAACCAGTGGTTCGACTTCGATCTGTGGTCCAGAGGTCAAATCTTGCTTTCGTTGTGTTATTCTACTAAAAAGAGAGCTTTGTTAGTAACGGTCGTTAGATGCGCTAATCTCCTGCCAATGGATAACAACGGATTTTCAGATCCGTTTGTTAAACTGTGAGTATTCTCAGTATATAACAAAAATCAAAAAATACAAAAATGTATAAAAAATATATAAATAGACTCAAATTAAAAAAAGGCACATACATTTATAAAAAAACATAGTCAAAATCAAAATAAATAGAAACAAAACTGTTCAGAATATGGATAAACTACAAAAGTATATATGCACATAGCGGTTATATACAGGACATCCAATACTTGGCATACTCCAGAGCCTTGCTATTTCCCTCCGCCAGATCACTCTGATTGCATATGTTTGGAAGATTTGGGCATACAAGAAGATGCCTCATATTTTGTTCCTCTCCGAAATCGCAGGATACGGTTCCGTCAAGGTTCCACTGGTTCATGTTTGTCTTGCATCTGCCAACCTGAGTAGGCAAACGGTTCAGACTTCTCCACACCGGCCATGCCTGTTCAGCACCAAGTGGTAGGCTCTCTTTGGCCTTAGCGCAAATTTATTTAGAGTTGTTGTCGTTGCTGGTCACAACTCCAGTCTTGTTGCAGATGCCGTGCTGTTATCAAGTGACTGGACCGCAGAAAGAAAGCTTTTTGGGGATATCAATCTGGGTCCAGTGGCGTGTTTTCCGAAGAACGGGTGCCGGGTATCGGAGAGAGCTTGCTGTTTCTGTTTCATGCTGGAAACACGTCTCATGAGGTGGAGCTATCCCGCTGAGGAGGTGTAGTTGTTGGGTCGATGTGAGTTTTAGGCATCCGGTGATTAGACAGCACAATTGGTTCAGCATCGGGTCTATCTTTTTGGCATGGCAGGAGCGTTCCCACATTGGTGTGGCATATTCGGCAACCGAATAGCACAGTGCACGAGCAGTAGTGCTTAGTGTGTGTGGATTAGTCCCCCAGGTGGAGCTTATCAGCTTACCAAACAGGTTGTTCCTTGTAGATATTTTGGCCCCAGTCTTCTCGACATGATGTTTAAATGACAGTGTGCGGTCTAATGTGACATCGAAATAAGTTGGCCGTGGGCAAAATCTGAGTTGCTGGTCTTTCCAATTGACATTTATTGCTCTGTTAGTTTCCATATTATTTAGATGGAACAAGCCAGTGACAGTTTTCGAGGCGTTTGGTTTAATGCTATTATTTCTGTAATATTAGGTTAGCGCAGTTAGGTGTAATGTTAACTTATCTTCAATTTTATAGAAATCCTTATCTTGGTAAACTATTGCTAAATCATCTGTGCAAATGAAGCTGAAAAAATCTGGTTATGAATTTCTGGAAAAATATTCTAATATTGATTCTAATTTAAATATTATACTTATTACTGCTTTATTTCCTTGCTTTTAGATTATATTTTTGAGATGGTTATTGGCCTATTCTTTGTAAATTTTCATAGATTCCTGTGTAAATTTACAGATCTATCGTGATCCTTTTCTTACCTCCTCGTCCTTTTTAACATATTTACTATCTTAGAGACTGATCCTTCTATGTAGCTCATTGCCATGACTTATCATTGCCTAATACAAAGAACGCACATTTGCTGGACTATGACTCTGAGATATAATCGATACTAGCGATGGGAACTATCGAATGAATTAGACTATCGAATGGTTACTGAATGAATGATTTCAACTATCGAATGGTTTTATTCGAATAAAATCATTAATTCATTTGTATACTAAAGCATATGTGACAACCTCGCCGTACGACTAAATGGTTATCGTTGCGCCACGAATATCGAATGTTTTTGATAAATGAAATTTAGTATTCGTTTGATTTTTGTGTACGTCAGTGCATTATTAGTTCTTCCAAATTTTTATAACTTCGCCTTCTAAATACTATGCTATTTTTGCGTTTATTAAAATATTTAAAATACTAAAATAGTAGGTTTTTTTTAATTGACGATTGTGTGCGAAGTGGTCAAAATTTTTCCGAAAATTTGTGTGATTTTCCGTAGCCCGATCTTTCAATTATATAATTTTATATGGTATATTATAGTTAGGTTATAGATTGCATTTTTTTTAATGGGAAATTTTTAAGAGAGATGTGATGAACTTTAATTTTATAAATACACATTTGTATTTTAGATGTTTTAATAATATGAATTAGTTGAACTTAATAATCATATTTAAGTAATGTGGTTAAGTAAATGGTTATCGAACTCAAATTTTGGGGTGAGAACAATGTTTGTATTTTGTTTATGCTAATTCTCTTACATGTAGTTTTTTGCGAAGAAATATTTCATTTATTTTTTAAAGTAAATGCCAGCAAAAGTAAATATTATTTTTAAATAGTAATATAAAGTAATAAAAAGTAATATAAATAATTTTGATTTCTAATTTTTTATTTATATTTTCCTTCCATTACACTGCATGCTTAGAAAATTAATAAATTTTTGTATTTCATGATTTTAAAATTTGTTGTTAATATAACAAATTAGTTCTGTAATTATTATTATTAAATAAACCAACATTGCCATTTAGAGACTATATTATTTTTAAATAGGATCTAATATAAATACTTTTGACTTCTATTTGTTGTTTATATTTTGCTACTACTTAAAAAAAATGTTTATATTATTAAATGATTGTAAATTTTGTTGTTAATAGGTATAACAAATTATTACTGTTATTATTATTTATTAAACCAGTCTTTGCTTAAAAACATTAAAAATAATTTTCCTACATCCAAAATAAAAAGTATTATTGCAGTGTAACAACAGAATATTAATAAAAAAAATGCAAAACATATAGACATACTATCCCTAACTAACTAATGCTAAAGAATAATATTCTTTGCTAATACCAACTAATACGAATATATGGCAACAGCGCCCTTCATAATATATTTTCTGTGTAAATACTATACTAGCACCTCAATAAAAAAAATAATGTGTCCTTATCTTTATTTGACTCCGCAAAAAATCAAAGATGCCGGCTTCTTTTATAGCATTGCCACCGACCGCTGTCGGGTTTCTAGGAAAGAAACCTACGTCGCCGGACGACAACTAAAATCCAGTTTATATTATTAAAATCGATCCTGACGAATAAATGAATTTGTTAAATGAATGAATTTTATAAATGAATGGTTTTTGCTGCCGAATTACTAGAATACAATATTTCAAGGCAGATGACGCATCTATTCGATAATTTTTATTCGAATAGTTTTCGACGAATGTTTTCTTACTAGCTATCGAATTATTCGAATGAATTGCAACTATCGAATGTTTCGATAGTATTCATTCGATAGTTCCCACTACTAATCGATACCAAATAAACTTTTAGTTACGTCATCGAGGGCGCGAATATTAAATTCATTGTTGCCAGTAGGTAGCTCTGCTGTAAAAAATGTCAAGTTGCCACATTTATTTATTTATTTCCTGACGTTTGGGTACTTTATTTTAAGTAAGCAGTCGAAATTGTTCTCTTTAGATAGAGAACATAGAACCGCTTGTAGTGTGAAGTGTACAATAAAATGCCGAAGCAGCTTAACAGCCGTTGCAAAGAACGCATCGCAACCTTATTCAAATATTTTGGACGGAAAATATTTAATAATGATCCTTTATGCGCCTTAAGTGCCGTTAAGGAGGTGAGTTTTATTGATGTAAATAATAACTGTTTTTATATTTCAAATTAATTCATTTTTGTTTTCTAAAATATTTTGATTAAAAGAAAATATATAAAGACGGCAACGTTGTGCCGGTGAAGCTTAATCACGAGACTAGAAGTTTATTTCGTTTGATCTATAGAATATGTTCTATCGTTCTACCATATATCTTTGGTTGTTCCTGTTCGTAAAGGAGTTTTTCTTAAAATCCTTGTTCTCTGTTTAATCTAGACGCTAAATTATGACTTAGTTCTGAGATGATATGTTTTTAGTCAGCTGAAACCAGATCCATGTCATAGAAAACACAAGACTTCAGTAAAATGGAAGAATCTCAATCCAGTGTTCAACGAGGAATTTGCTTTCGAAACTAGACCTACCGAGTTGTATATGCAGAGCCTCTATATCACAGTTTTTGATAAAGATTATGGGAAGAGCAACGATTACTTGGGAGGCTTAATACTGGGAGGATCTGGATCAAAAGGTCAGTCATTTCTGCTTTTTTTATTGTGCATAGTTTGGATATCCATAGAATATATACTGACTCCTAAATACACACACCGGAAAAGTCTAGGGATATTACAATTTTATCCAGCCATCGTCAGTAATTTTATTATTTGCATTTCTGATATAATAAAATTAAAATAAACAAATAGTTTACAGGACGTATTGGAAATAAAAATGCGAAATTTACCGAATTTTTCAAATTTACCTTGATTTTTATTGAACTCAAAAAAATACACACATTTTTTTTTATTCTAAACTGTGAATTAAAAAAAAAGATAAAACCATTTTTACTTAATAAAGGATATGGCCTCCTCTACTGTTCATTACAGCCCTACATCGTCTCTCCATGCTCCTGATCAGGTTGTCGATCTCTTCTTGAGGTACAGCCTGCCACGCTGCATTCACGGCCCGAACCAGATCCCTACGAGTTTCATGAGGCATACCTATTCTCAAAATTCTTCTTTGGACCGCGTCCCATACGTGCTCGATGGAGTTGAGGTCAGGAGATTGTGCCGGCCAGGGTAAGATGTTTAATTGAAGAGCATTGATAAACACATTTACCACTCTGGCTGTATGAGGCCGTGCATTGTCATGCATGAGAATGAAGTTTCTCCCAAAATCATTGGCATATGGTAACACGACAGGCTCTAGAATTAAATCACGATATGTGGTTCCTGTTAGAAACCTTTCAAGAAAAACGAGATCGGTTTTTCGGCCTAACTGGACTCCTCCCCAGACCATAACTGTTCCACCTTGATAAGGGTGTACTTCTTGAACATGATCCAACCGAATAAGATTTCCCGGTTCTCTCCATACCCTAAGCCTTCTCGAATCCGGATGAATTCCAAAGCGTGACTCATCCGCGAAGAGAACATTGGCCCATTGTTCATTCGACCACTGAACATGGTTTTGAGCCCACAAATATCGTACCTCTCGATTTCCTCTCGTTAAGGGTTGAGCTCTCCAGGGGCGTCTGCTTCTTAAGTTGACCTCTCTTAATCTATTGCGAACAGTGTCAGGACTAACGGTTACATTATGTGTTTCCTGGAGAATTAAACTAAGCTCTGGTGCTGTAAGAGTCGGTCGGCGTCGACCATTTAATTGTAAAAAATTATCTTGCTGAGGGGTAGTAATGCGATGTCGCCCTGTGTGCCTTTCAGCAACATCACCACTTTCACGGTAGCGTGCACTTAATCGCGATATTACACTTTGCGTTGTATTTAATGCTCTAGCTACGTCGATTTGGTGCATTCTAGCTTCGAGCATACCCATGGCCCTTAGCATTGCGTCTCTGTTAAAATGTCTACGCTCCATAATGGCGTTTAATACTAAACAGAGTGTTTTGAATGAATTCTGGCCAATTATCATAAAAACATAGCCAGTACAGATTAAATTCGAACAATTGATGCTAGTGCTTTTTATACATTTGACAAAACATGCACAAACACTTCTGCAAATATCCCAAATTTAGAAATAACTAGTGTGACTACTTCGTTTCAATCGAAGTAGAAAGAATCGGCCTACAAATATGTGGTTGTTTATTCAAAACATTTATTTTTAACTTTAATAAAATGTTATCCCTAGATTTTTCCGGTGTGTGTAGTACCTCTTCAAAATTTTTCGATCTTTTTTAGGTCAGAGGCTGAAACATTGGCTGGATATGATCAGATATCCTGATCATCGACACGAACAGTGGCATAATTTAACAGAAGATCTGTTGGAGTAAAAGTGAAATCGGTGACGTCTTATAGGAATAGTTAATATTACACATTCTAAAGTTAAAATAAATGTATGGCTTTTTATATAAGAGATCATAGTCTAAGAGCTAGCAACGTTTTCGAGAAAGTATTTTAAGACGTCTGGCTCTTTGATATATCTTTTACTATGCTCTCTGGAACAGCATGCGGCCCGTCTGCGTTTACTACTGCGCATCGGAAGAAGATCCTATATTTTTTATTAATTTAGTCGTATAAATTCTAGTATTGAATATAAATCCAACATGTCTCCATGGTGCAGTGCCTAGAGTTTCCCACTACGAACCGAAAATTCAGAGTTCAAATCCGGGTCAGGTCAAAGACTTTTTTATTTTATTTTTGTTTATATTCTGATAGTAAAGTATTAAATAATTCTGGTAATAAAAAAAAACAAATATTTAATGCTTTACAATCTGAATATAAACGAAAATAAAAATAAAAAAGTCTTTGACCTGACCCGGATTTGAACTCTGAATCTTCGGTTCGTGGTCGGAAACTCTACGCACTGCGCTATGGGGACACGTTCGATTTATATTCAATACTAGAATTTAAAAGACTAATAAAAATATAGGATCTTCTTTCAATGTGCAGTAGGGAACGCAACGTTTGCCGGCAGCCAGACGGGCCGCATGCTGTTCTAGAGAGCAGAGTAAAAGATGTATCAAAGACCCAGACGTCTTAAAATACTTGTTTTCCCGACGTTGCCAGCTCTCGTACTATCAGGGGGTCAGAAACCAATAAGAAATCAAAATTTTTAGAATCTCTACAAGTAGTAATACTGCCAAAATATTTAAATTATAATAAATCAATCACAAAGTTATTATACCGTATGATCGAAAAAAAAACGGCGTCAGCGATGGCTATGAAATGAAGATCGCCGTCATTTTATATGTCAAATTATATGGGAAATGTCATCGATCGTCATTTCCCAGCCAACTTGACGCAGTTCGCAACCTCTTTTAGTGTGAAGTTTACAAGATAACTTAATAGCTGTAAAAAACTCATCGCAGCTTTATTTGAATATTTTGAACGGGAAAGCGGTAGTAAAGTAATGACCCCTTATGGCCCTATGATAAATAATAACTGTTTATCCTAAAATATTTTGATTAAAAGAAAATATGTAAAAGCGGTCAACACTGTGCCGATCAAGCTTAATCACGTGGCTAAAAGTTTATACCGGGTGCGTCTCAAAAGTGGCTCACCCCTATAATTTTATTATTTTTTTGGTTAAAAAAACGGGATTTGGTATGTTAGTAAATGACATAAATTAGGATTGATTGACGTATTCAAATGTTTTTGGTCACTTCCGGTTTCACCGGAAATGACTACAAGTTTTGATTTTTAAATGGCATCCCCGGAATTTTATTACTTTATTCCAAATACGTTTAAATAAAATATACGGAGGGTACCGCTTAAATTCCTGTCCCGATATTGAAGGATGGCTATAGAATTTCAATGCATTTCCTACATAAGTCTATCCTTGTGTTGTAGGAGGTTTGACTAAACATGGATGAACTTATGTCCTGAAACCATTCAGACTCGATTTTCTGTCCTTCATTACTGGGACGTAAATCCTCTTATTGCTCTTATGGGGAGGCCGTCGTATATTTTATTTAAACGTATTTGCTTTATTCGATAGAACATGTCACTCTGAATCGAATGACATATTATATGTCAACTTTTGACCTTTTCGCATATGGCATAGATAAATGCAACAAGTTTAGATTGGAAAGCCCGTAAAAATTTCGTGTCGCGAAATTATTTTGGGTCGCGACCGTTATACGCGATCTGGCGTTGCCCTAGCGGTCGCTAAGAACAACGGCAAACAAAAACAGAAATAATTTTCTCTTGTCAAAGTCAGAATCTTCAAAAATCATAATAATCTTTCAAAATCTAAACCGCTCTCATTAAAGAAATTGTTTGAAAGTGTTCATAGCGTCCATTTTCAAAGTAATTATTGCTAACTTGTGAGTTTAATTCAAGTTTTATTTACTCCAACCGGTGATAATTGTGAAAAAGTGGCATTAAAGACTTAAAACGCTGTGCTGTGAACTGTGAACTGCAAAAACCATCGTGCATAACATCGGTTTCCAATGTTTCATAGGTATTTCTTACATGCGTCCTTATATAAAATAAAGTTTCTTTTATGCAACACACTGTATTTTATTTATAAAATTAAACGAAAATAATAATAAATTTGAATAAACAATATTTGGCGATATAGTTCCGGAAAAAGCCGAACCGCTCCGAAATTTTCAAAAGTTTTGGGTCGCGACCGGTGCAAGAATAGCGCCAAATAGTGTTTACATTGTCCTTATGGGCACTTTCCAATCTAAACTTGTTTCATTTATCTATGGCATATGGTTTATTTCAAATTATAACTTGAGGTTTGTAACGAAAATTTGACTCAAAATACCAAGTGTGTGGTATCAAATTATTCTTAAAAAAATGCTTTTTCCAAATATGCTAATGAGCCAGTCTTGTTCCATTTGAAAACATTGAGATATGATTAAAAATACGATTATTCGTATTATTATTCAATACGAGCATTTTCTAACTGGCCAGGACAAGACACTAAAAACATTAGACGATCAAATCTATTTTTCCAATGCTTCTTGATTAAGAATTAGTGTTTTTAACATATATTTTTTTAAGCAAGAATGTCAAAAGTTGATATATGTATGTCATTCTATTCTGAATGCCATTTTCTATCGAATAAAGTAAAAAATAAATTAAGCCATTTAAAAATCAAAATTTGTAGTTATTTCCGGTGAAACAGGAAGTGACCAAAAACAATTGAATATGTCAAATCAATCCTAATTTATGTCATATACTAACATACCAAATCTCGTTTTTTTATCTGAAGAAATAAAAAAAGTTATAGGGGTGAGCCACTTTTGAGACGCACCCGGTATAAAAGATATGAACTATACAGACAGGATATATTATATGATATATTTCGTGGGGTATAAAAAATTGAAGATATACGACAATATTAAACAGAATTGATGTCAAAAATTTATCTATTTTACTGTCGAGAAACTGTTAAAAGCTCTGGAGATCTTTTAAATAAGAATTTATTTTAGGTAATATTTTTATATAACTGAATAACAATGAAATAAATATTAAGTATTATAATTCATATTTTTACATAAGATTTAAATATTATAATAATGCGTATATTATTAAAAAATAGCGTGTTTTGCAAGCGAATATATTTTTTGTTGTCATAAGACTTTATAGAGCTTTATTGAATGTTGTTGCAAAATCAAGAAACTAATTGATGTTTATAAATAAATGTTAATAAATTTATTCTGTGTTTTATTTACTAGAGGTGTCTTAAGTCAAGAAATCAAGAAAATCAAGAAAATGCAAACGACCCGTTCGTGGACCTACTATTATTTATGTAGGAAGTAGAAAAGTAAAGATTTGAAGTTAACGTCTCCTTTTTGCTGCCAGGGCTGATCTGGACGGGGCCTACTTTGTTTACGCGGAATCCGAACCGCGGTCCTCAGCCATATCATGGTCAATGGCCTACCGACTTGGTAAGTGTCTAAATCGACTCTTACTCTCGAGATATCCGATCTCATCCGACCTCGAACCGGCGTGAATGAGCAGTGTGTGTCAATAGATTTTACACTTTTGCCTTTATTGGACAACAGCACGATACAGAGTTTCGAATCGGTCACCCGTCCATCCACTAGTATCGCCTTACGTCGCTTAACTTCGGTGTTATAATGGGAACCGGTGTTTCGACGTAGCTGGGCCGTTGCCTGTAGAAAGTAGAGTTCGGGACGCTTCCGCATCGAGTTTGAGACGACCCGTGTGTGCACGAGATCTCCGATCTCATCCGGCCTCGAGCCAGCGTGAATGAGTAGTAGGTACGACACGTACCTACTACTCATTCACGCTTCTATATTTTATTTTAAGTCTATGGTTGACACAACCATAGACTTAAAATAAAATATAGACTGAGCATCTCATTCATAAATAGCTGGAACATGCGGTCAGACACTGTCTTGTTATTGTTGTGTTATTGTTTTAGGTTATAACGAGTGCGACACGAGCGATAGATAGGTTGTCTCTGTCGTAACGGTCGTTCCCTGACGACTCTGCCGAGAAACACAACACTGTCATTCGTTTCTCAAGTACACCTGAACTCTCCGTATCATAGCCGGGTAATTTTTTTATTTTAATGAAGCTATAATTAAATTAAAAATATATCGTATTTAAACTTTTTTATATTTTATTAAGATTTAGGACAGGTTTTTTAAATAAAAGTTTAGAAAAAACAATTTAGTAGCAAAAAGGATAAAAATAATAAAATACACGTTATAGAAGAAATTTTATAATCAAAATTAGGCAATTTTTGAAATTAATAATAAATTATTAATTTTAGTCAAACATTTACAACCCCTAATATTAATCAAAACAGGATCTATTCCACAGATATAATAGAATCGGCGACAGGGAGAGAAAAAAAAATATGATTGTTGTAATTTTTTTTCTGGTTAAGTGATGTCTTATTATGTAAATTAGAGAAAACATAAATCTGTTCCATTAAAGCAAGGAAGGTGATAGAAGTGGATAAAATAAAACTACATTTATTTAACTCGGTACTGTCTTTATTATACCGGGTGCGTCTCAAAAGTGGCTCATCCCCATAATTTTTTTATATTTTCAAATAAAAAAACAAGATTTAGTATGTTAGTATATGAAATAAATTAGGATTGATTGACGCATTCAATTGTTTTTGGTCACTTCCTGTTTCACCGGAAATGACTATAACTTTTAATTTTTAAACGGCACCCTCGGTATATTTCTACTTTATTCGATAGAAAATGACACTCTGAATAGAATGAAGAATGATATATCATATGTCAACTTTTGACATTTTCGCATATGGTTTAATTGTTGCCATACCATGAAAAATGCTTTTTCCAAATATGCTAATGAGTCACCCTTGTTCCATTTGAAAAAATTGACATATGTATGATTAAAAATACGATTTGTACATCTTTTAACCGGCCTAGACAAGACACGAAACCTATTAGACGATCAAAACTATTTTTCCAAGGCTCCTTGATTAAAACTTAGTGGATTGAAAAAAACTGGATTGAAATTTAAACTAGGATATGTTTTTAAGCGACAATGTCAAAAGTTGACATATGATATGTCATTCTATTCAGAGTGTCATTTTTTATCGAATAAAGTAGCAATATACTGAGGGTGCCTTTAAAAATCAAAAGATGTAATCATTTCGGTGAAACAGG